ATTATGGGGTATTAGTAACCTGGGCATCTCATTCAAACGTCGTATTTCTTACGGAATCTCCCACTCTGCTAACAAAGCCACATATTCTTATAAATTATATCACTGCAGTACTGACTTTTTTCAATATGTCCGCCACGGTATATTAGGCGAGTTGCTGCGGTAAGAAGTAGTCATCTTGATGCCAGACCTGTAAGCAAGCAAGAAATAAATACACAGCAGTGAGGAGAGGCAGAGGGAGAAAAGAACACTACACACAGAAATCACAAAAGCGTGATGCATCAAATAAACAAATCAACTTGGCCTACCACGGATCCTGCAGTCTCTGTGAGACACAAACCAGGTTTCCGTGGTAGGTCAAGTTGGTCAAGTTAAAGCAAGCTGCACGTAAAAGATAAAATCTAGAAATTAAGATCGGGGAACAGGTTCACTGACAGTGAAAACGAAATGTGTAAAACGCTAATTAAACAGTTTCAAAGTGTGTTCGAACTAAATGAGGATTTCAGAGAGCCGGACCCAATGCCAATACCAATGCCAATGCCAGAGAGTCCCAGTCCAGGAGTACTCTGTTCTCTCTAAGGTTAATATTATTCTTTGATTTTGCTAATGGTCTGTGAGAATTCTTCACGCCTGAATAAACCTCATATCTGCCGCCTCCCTTGACTAAACCACTTCTCAGCCTCCCACATCTGACTAGGCGTCTAAATTTGCTCCGTATACTTGACTAAAACTTACATATACCCTCTATATCTGACTAAACCTCATATCTGCCCCCTTATATCTGACTAAATCTCACATTCTCCTCCCCACATCTCTCAAAACCACACCTCTGCCTCCTATACCTGACTAAGCCTCACATCAGTAGAGTAAGTAGCCCCGAAGTAGGTCAGACACGTGTGGGAGGTGTTGCTGGTGGAGCAGGTAGGGGGGGGGAGGGGGATGGAGGATATCTTGAGATGATTGATTGATTGGGAGGGAGGGAGGGAGGGGGGGGGGGGACTCTTTCATTGAAGTTGATTAGGGCTTCGGTGAGATTGCAAGGAAACAGAAGCTTGATAGATAGTTGGGGCCTCGTGCGTTTGGTCGAGTCGAATGGAAAGTTAAGGGGTAAGTACGCGAGGAAGGGCTTGTTATAAGAGGTACTTACCTATCTGTGACGTCAGGGAAGTGAGGTCTAGCTCCTTGTGCTCCGCCTACTAGCCTTATTGTGCCCGTTGCGTTAAAGCTTCACTATTCTAAGACTCACTATCTTTGTCGAACCTTCCCTTAAAGATGTGGATGGAGGTGGCTTCCACAACTTCATCCCTTAGTGCATTCCACTTGTTGACACCCGTACAGGGTGAGAGTATTTCCTTACATTACTTCGATTTGTGTCTCCAGCTTCCACTTGTGACTTTTTGTCCTACTTTCTCTCAACTTGAATTAAGAGACTTTCCTTCTCCACCTTGCTATCATATCTCCTCTATTCTTTCTGTCCTCTAAGGTTGTAAGATCTAGTTCCTTCCACCTTTCCTGATAACTTGACCCTCTAAGCTCTGGTACTAATCTAGTACCAAACCTCTGCACCTTTTCAATTTTAATTTCATGGTTCACAAGGTATGGATTCCAGGCAGGTGCTGCATATTCCAGTGCTGGTCTAAAAAAGCTGTGTAGATTGCTTGGAACGTGTCCTGATTTATGTTTTTTACATGACGTTGTAATGTTTGCCAGTACCATCCTCCCGATGTCGATGTCGCCCTCCCGATGTCGATGTCGCCCTCCCGATGTCGATGCCACCTTGCCGATGCCCCCCTTCCGATGTCGATGCCACCCTCCCAATGTCGATGCCACCTTGCCGATGCCACCCTCCCGATGTCGATGCCACCCTTCCGATGTCGATGCCACCCTCCCGATGTCGATGCCACCCTCCCAATGTCGATGCCACCCTCTCGATGTCGATGCCACCCTCCCAATGTCGATGCCACCCTTCCGATGTCGATGCCACCCTTCCAATGTCGATGCCACCCTCCCGATGTCGATGCCACCCTCTCGATGTCGATGCCACCCTCCCGATGTCGATGCCACCCTCCCGATGTCGATGCCACCCTCCCGATGTCGATGCCACCCTCCCGATGTCGATGCCACCCTCCCGATGTCGATGCCACCCTCTCGATGTCGATGCCACCCTCTCGATGTCGATGCCACCCTCTCGATGTCGATGCCACCCTCCCGATGTCGATGCCCCCCTCCCGATGTCGATGCCATCCTCTCGATGTCGATGCCATCCTCTCGATGTCGATGCCACCCTCCCGATGTCGATGCCACCCTCCCGATGTCGATGCCACCCTCCCGATGTCGATGCCACCCTCTCGATGTCGATGCCACCCTCTCGATGTCGATGCCACCCTCTCGATGTCGATGCCACCCTCCCGATGTCGATGCCCCCCTCCCGATGTCGATGCCATCCTCTCGATGTCGATGCCATCCTCTCGATGTCGATGCCACCCTCCCGATTAAGAATTAAGGTAATGTCAGGAACGTTTGTTTCTACTTTTTGTTTAGATAATGAAGGGATTAAGGATCACTTGACAGTAGTGTTCAGAGGAGGCATTATCCTCCAGCAATACGGGCCCGATTTGCCAGTTTCGTAGTGTAGTCCATCGTGCAATAATCTGTAAATTAATGTAGGTTTCATCGGTAAAAATTGTGACGTTCAGGATATCCTGTACATTGGAATTAATGAGCCGAACCTCATTATTTTATGATGGTTGGTGTGACACGTTGACACCCCCATCTATGCAGCAATCAACAAGCCATCGTCTACTCATTCATCAACCAGAACTCATCAATACACAGCCCATCGTCCTTATAGAACGTCGCATTTTGACATATACTCTACCATAAGGAAAAATATCGTCGTACTGGAAAATGGTAACGGCTCACGAAATTGACATTCAGTCCCGTTTTCTGTTTTGGGTCCTCTGATAGGTTATAATAAGGGTACTTTAATACGATAGTTTCTTTACGTAGGGAAACTTTTGGAGGACGGGATGGAATACATCCATATTCCATATTAGTAAATTTGGATTAATATTCCATATTAATAAACCATATTAATATTTTTAGCCTAAAGCAGGCTAAAAATATCCCGCCTCTAGATGCTGTGCCGACGAAGCAGAGCGCAGCGCACTGCGACCCTCCCACCGACGACCTGCCCCTCTGTCACCTCATCACGTCCTGCTCACGTGCGTCACCCTGGAGCTCCAAGCACACCATAGTGTGACGGCCCTAGAGGCACCACACAGGGTGGCACCATTTGTATAAAAGCTCACAGGGATGCTGAGAGCTTCCATGAAGGAATTGTCCTTCCAGCGATGTTCTCCCGCGAGACATCTCACGCTGGATGGTATGCAGTCTGGAGAATATTAAGACACCCGGATTTAGAACTTATTCTTCAGAAACAAGTGGAGTTGTGGGGATCTTGGCAGCTGCCACAGGTGCTTGGCGGCACATTTATGAGTCTTTCTTCACTTCTCCCTTCTGTACTACTGTTTTTATCCTCGTCTCCTTCGTCTTTCTGTTCTCCTTCCTCCTTCCCATCCTTGCATCCTCCTTACTCTCCCTCCTCTTCGGTCCCTGGCTCACTCTCTTCCCGTTTATTATTGGATTTCCTTTAGTATATCCGTGCTATATAACAATCATATATGTCGTAACAAGTATATCTTGTGTGTATTTAGTATATCCATGATAACAAGTTTGTTACGACCTTGTTATCTTCCGTCTGTCCTTTGCGTAGTACCACTATTGCTACAGGGTGTGGTCAGCCATACCATCATAGCTACAGGGTGTGGTCAGCCATACCACCATAGCTACAGGGTGTGGTCAGCCATACCACCATAGCTACAGGGTGTGGTCAGCCATACCATCATAGCTACAGGGTGTGGTCAGCCATACCACCATAGCTACAGGGTGTGGTCAGCCATACCATCATAGCTACAGGGTGTGGTCAGCCATACCATCATAGCTACAGGGTGTGGTCAGCCATACCACCATAGCTACAGGGTGTGGTCAGCCATACCACCATAGCTACAGGGTGTGGTCAGTCATACCACCATAGCTACAGGGTGTGGTCAGTCATACCACCATAGCTACAGGGTGTGGTCAGTCATACCACCATAGCTACAGGGTGTGGTCAGTCATACCACCATAGCTACAGGGTGTGGTCAGTCATACCACCATAGCTACAGGGTGTGGTCAGTCATACCATCATAGCTATAGGGTGTGGTCAGTAAGGCACAGGGGCAAGACTTGGTGCTATACTTCCAGTATGGTATCTTGTGTTTCTTTAGATGGGCCGTCACCCCACCATTGTATACGTCCAGCTCTGACCTCTTCCTTGTTTATTAAGAATGTGGAGTGATCCTTTATGGCATATCAAAGGATTGTCCTTATTCGTGGAATATGAAGTGTGGCGATCCTCATCTGTTCTCTCTTTTGTGGTCAATGTCTTGTTGAACTCCGTTAAGTTTGTTAGGCATGATTTCCTTTCCCTCCTCCTGGCGTGCTGGTGTTTGTTTAATAATCTTTTTCTGTCTAGATCACAAGTCTTTTTCTTATTAGTTTTATTTTTGAGTTCTTGGCAGTACTCACCTAATTGTGCTTGCGGGGGTTGAGCTTTGTCTCTTTCGTCCCGACCAAAGCAGTATATGCTTGTCAGTGATACCAGTTCGTATATAAACTCCTTCTGTACCTTTTTCGTATATTGGCACTGAAATTGCTGTCTTCTACCTGCCAGGCAACTTTCTCATCGCTTGTGGAACTATAAGGATTGATGCAGAAGGTATGCTGAATGCTCATGCAGGTTTCTTCAGCATACTTGATGATATGCTGTCTGGCACTAAAGACTTTATTTATCTAGTACTTAAAGTTGTTACACTAATTCCTCCGTGGTCCAGTTATTCTAAGCTGACCTATAACTTATTTAAAAATATTTGATTTAACCATCACTGAAAAGCCATATAATTACAAAATGTATATAAATAAAAATGTAAATGTTCGATTGTTCCAAATCGCTAATCTCCGAAAGTTCTTCACCGATTGCTTTGGAATTTTGACACAACGTTCCATTCGTATACGAACGTGTTTTTATATACCTTCTATATAGTTAAAACATGTTTTTTTTTTGTAAAGAGCGTCATCTATTGGACGTATGAGCAACACACGCTGTAATCTATGAAAGCTCTTCACCACTTGCTTTGAGATTGTGACACAACGTTCCATTCGAATAAGTGCATGTTTCTATAAACCTACTAAATAGATGCCACAGCTGAGAGGTAAAAACATGCTTTTTTGAAAAACAGCGTTATCAATTGCACGAATATTAACGAATAGGATTCCACGAATATTAAAATCTTAATAAAAAGGTAAACAAGTGCCGAAACAAAAGCAGTACTATGTCCCAAACAGCGATCGTGACCAAACGTGACTGTCACACGCGCTCATTGTTAAGTTGTATGCTGTACGAACCCTTCTTGAGAGATGATTAAAATGATTTCGGGGCTTAGCGTCCCCGCGATCCGGTCCTCGATCAGGCCTCCTTATTTTTGTTACACACCCCCAGGAAGCGGCCCGTAGCAGCTGTCTAAATCCCAGGTATCTATTTACTGCTAGGTGAACAGGTGCATGAAGGTGAAAGAAACTCTACCCATTTGTTTCCGCCTCCGCCGGGGATCCAACCCGGAATCTTAAGACTACGAATCCCGAGCGCTGTCCACTCAGCCGTCAGACCCATTGACCCTAAAGTAGGGATCGATTGTCAGTATTCCACACTTTGACAAATCTTGTTCTATATTGAAATATATGAAGTTACATAATTCATAATCTCTATATTATGACCCGACAGTCATTAAAATATTAAGGGGAACTTAATAGGTGATACAAAGTTGCTGAACAGATAATGATAAATGTATTAGATATAATACTTCTCCTGAGATGGAAAATAAAAATATGTTTTAAAGAAGGAAAATGCGTTTTCTGTTTTGTTTGAGTCAGCAAGACTGATGACATAGCTTAGCCTGCAGCTCTTGTAATTAAATAAATAAATAAATAAGCAAACAAATAAACATATTAATAAATATACCAATATATAAACCAAGAAATTAATTAATAAATGTCCAAGTAAATAACAATTTTGTGAACAGTTTGAATATAAATCTGAACCGTCGGGTTAGTATAATATGCAGGAGGATGAGTAGGATAAGGAGGAGGATGAAGAGGAGGAGTATGAGGAGGAGGATGAGGATGAGAAGGAGGATGAGGAAGAGATCTGGTCAGATGATGAGACAGGGAGAAGACGAAGGACAGTCAGGAATGCCAAGGAGTGTCACGGGTCAAGTGAGTGACGCTTGTGCTGGAGTGATGACTGCAAGTGTGTGGCGGGTAGGCCGCTCCAGTGCTCTAGCGTGAGCAGTGACGTACACACACACGAGGTGTCACTAGCGGAGTCCAACAGGGCTCTGTACTTGGACTCATCCCGTTTCTAATATATGTCAACGATCTTCCGGAGGGTATAGACTCATTCCTCTCAATGTTTGCTGATGATGCAAAAATTATGAGAAGAATCAAGACAGATGAAGATAGACAGAGACTACAGGATGACCTGGACAAACTGGAGGAATGGTCTAGAAACTGTCTGCTAATGTTCAACTTAGGAAAGTGTAAAGTAATGAAATTAGATGAAGGGAGCAGGAGGCTGAACACAAGGTACCATCTGGGAGGTGAAATCCTGCAAGAGTCCAATAGAGAGAAAGATCTGGGGAATGATATCACACCGAACCTGTCCAGCCGCCCCCAACAGAAGCCCACATTAACAGGATATCATGAGTGGCATATACTGAAGTGGCCAACATCAGAACTGCCTTCAGAAACTTGTGTAAAAAATAGTTCAGGACCTTGTATACCACTTATATCACACCAATTCTATTATATGTAGCTCCAGCCTGTAGTCCATACCTAGTTAAACACAAGACAAAGACTTAGATGTATGCCACCAGACTAGTCCCAAAACTGAGAGGTATGAGACACAAGGAAAGGCTATGGGAGCTAAACCTCACGTCCCTGTGAAAACAGAAGGGTAATTGGAGACATGATTACCACCTACAAAATTTTCAGAGGAATTGACAGGGTGAACAAAGACAAACTATTTATCATGGGTGGAACACGAACAAGGGAACACAGGTGGAAACCCAGCATCCAAATGAGCCACAGGGACCTTTGAAATATTTGTTTCAGTGTCAGAGAAGTTAACAAATGAAATGTATTAGGCAGTGATGTGATGGAGGCTGACTCCATATACAGTTTCAAATGTAGATATGACAGAGCCCAATAGGCTCAGGAATCTGTTCACCTGTTGATTGACAGTTGAGAGGCGGGACAAAAAAGCTGAGGCTCAACCCCTGCAAGCACAACTAGGTGAGTACACACATTCAATAAATAATTCTGGAGTACTAAACGGAAAAAGGGAAA